CCTGCTGCTGCGGAAAAGTGTCGGAACTTGGGATTTCAACCACCCAGATTTCCTCCAGGAAACACCCACAAAGCTGCATCGCTCCTAAAGTTACTTCTTTGGACATTCCCTCCCCCTCCCGAAATATTCCTCCCTGGAAAAATAACTTCCCAGGATGCAATTAAAACAGGTCTGGCCCTGGCCCCCTTTAAGTGCTTCACCAAATGGCCCATGAAAGGCAGGAATGAAAGGCAGCTTTGTTGGAATTTCTTCCTGACAATCTGCATCAATTCAAAAGTGGGACGTTGATCTGGGGGTTGGTGGTGCTGAAAATGGCTGGGAATAAGGCTGAGCTTGGCTAGGCTCAGCTTTGGGGGGAGTCTGTGCCAGTAAAGGGCTTGGAAAATCTAAATAATCTTGGGCTGAGCTGATCAAGGCAATGGGAATCCCATTCCAGACCTATGGATTCCGGCAACAGCCAGGGACTGGTGACTGTATTTTAATATATATATTATTAAAACATGCTTTTTATGTCAAAGGAAGCTGCTTTCTATCATGGATTAGATATTTATTTATGATGTCTCTTAGATGCAATGTTCTAAACATGGTATTTTCACAAGCTGCAGTTGAAGCCTTTCATGGGTTTTAATCCTTTGTTTCTGGCAGAAGTGGTTTTTTCTCCCACCTCACACAGGATCCCAGAGCTCTTTCTGTGATTCCCTTGTACTGTTTCCCAGAGTTCTTTTTTAATAGAGGTGTTTGAAATCCCCAGTAATGTGTCATTCCATCTTAGCAATTAGACCTGAGCCCAAGGGATTTATAGCAAACACTGGCAGAGCTCTCTGCCTTTCTGGAGCTGGGATGAAGGTCCCTTCCCTGTTTTGCAGTGGAGGCAGGAGGCATGGGGTGCCCACGCTGTACCCACATAACCTCTCGTGGTCCATGGGATTTGTGCAGGGTCTAAAAGAGTGGCATGAGCGGTGCCTTGCTTTTGCCCTGAGGCAAAGTTCTCTCAGTCCAGAGACCAGCCATTTCCCTGGGAATGTAGTCAAATCTCCAGGGTTAGCTGCCAGACATATGGCTTGGCCTGAAAATCTCACCAAAGGCATCACCTTTGCTGTGTGGGGTTGTTAATTGATTCAGTAGCACCTACCCCTCTGGGGCCTCCTGTTTGGAAATAGCCAAATTCTCCCTAACGCTGCTCTGGAAGAGCCTTGCATCCTTTGTGGCAGACTCATGGATAAAACATGGTGCTCTGGGAAGCACAGGAGCCATTCTTCCAGGGGATTGTGTGGGGAAATCGGGTGCAAATGGCCTTGCTGGATCTTTAAGATCACACTCCAAGAATTGCCAGCATGAACACTTGGGCTCGTTTCAGCTTGGGGTAGAGTTAATTGTCTTTTCAGTGGCTGGTGCAGGGCTGTGTTTTGGATTTGTGCTGAACACAGGGTTGATAATATAGAGATGTTTTTTGCTATAGCTGAGCAAAGCTTCACACAGAGCCAAGGCATTTTCTGCTTCCCCTACTGCCACACTGGCAAGGGAGTTGGGAGTGCATGGGAGGTTGGGAGGAGGCACAGGACAGGTGACCCAAACTGACCCAAGGGATAGTCCAGACCATATGACATCATGCTCAGTATATCAAGCTGGGGAAAAGAAGGAAGGGAAGGTTTGGAGTGATGTTGTTTGTCTTCCCATTCCATGGGATGGGGCCTTGCTCTCCTGGAGATGGCTGAACACCTGCTGCCCACGGGAAGCAGTGAATGAATTCCTTGTTTTGCTTTCCTTGTAACTGCGGCTTTTGCTTTCCCTGTTAAACTGTCTTTATCCCAACCCACAGGTTTTCTGGCTTTTGCCCTTCCCATCCTGTCCCTGGTCCTGCTGGTGGGGGACTGAGCGAGCAGCTGTGAGGGGCTTGGGGGCTGGATGGAGTTAAACCACAACAACCCTGCAGCCAGTGCTGGTTCTGGATACGGGACTTGGGAGAAATAAAACTAGATGGATTGATGTGTGTTGGCCAGCACGTGGCATTGCAGGTCGGACATAGCAACTGTGAATTGCTCCAGAACACTCCAGTGTAATGAGGGCCCTCCATGCAGGAGAGGCTGCAGCCAAAATACAGGCAGAGCTGAACTCCAGATCCAGCCGGGAGAGAGAGACAGGGATGAGGAGAGGACAAAGGCTCTTGCTGTGCCATCCCAGAGCAACATCAGAGGAGAAACAGAGAGGGTGAGGGAAAGCCTTGGTATTGAGATAACTCACCCCAGCCATGTTCTCTTGGCTGAGCTACAGGTCGGTACTCCCACCACATCACTCAGAGACTGGAGATCCAGGGCTTCCAATGGCTGGGGCTGTGAGTGGAGTCCCAGTGGAGGAGCTGGTCAGGGCCAGCAAGGTCTATTAGTGCCCTCAGGGTCCTGACAGGAGTGAGGAGAGGCTCCTCACCAGCAGTTTGGGGATTAGCTGCCCCCTGACTGGTAACTTTAGGTGAGGAGAGAGGATGGTGAGGTATGAAATATGAACTGATCTTTTTCTCAGGGAACAAGGAGGAGCCTGCAAGTTTTAGATGTTCGACCCAAGTTGCTTCACTGGAGAAGCTGCTTCTGCTTTTCCAAAACTGGACTCTTTAAAAACTCTCCAAGCTGGGCAGCCAAGACCAAAGCCACCCAGAACCACCAGTTGCTTTGGAAGGCTGGCACCACAGTGGAAAACACTGCACTTACCTGGCAAGAACAGCACCATGAGTCGCACGGGACAGTAAAAGCAGTAAAAGATGCTCCCTGGAGCTGCTGTTAATGCATGGTCCTATGTGCTCAGGTGGGTTTCCTCAGTTATTCTTGCATTGCCCTAATGACTATCGCTATTAATTATTGAAAAAAGGAAGAGCCTGATTGCATCAGGGCAGTGAGGTGAAGGAGAGCTCCAAGATGCACACAGCCACTCTCCCCTCTGTTTAAGGCTGACTGTAAAGAGAAGGTGGCTTTTCTCCAGCTCCAGTGTCCTCCTTACAGCCATGGCTGAGGAGAACCTCAAAAAGTGATCATAAGAGAAGACAGCATATTGCCCTCTTGGAAAGAGGGGAATGATGTGAGCAGTTCATGGCATTTGATGTGACAGCAGAGCACTCTAAGCACTGTCTCAGGAAGCCAAGTACAGACAAAATGTCTGCACCCATCTCCCCCTACCCGTCCCCTCCAGCTACATCTGAGATACGACTGCAATTCACCAACTGCGTTATGTCTGGGAGAAGGGTCTGTTCTCAAAAGTGTCTAAGACAGCTGGAAATGAACTTTAATGACAGCTCAAAAAATAAGTGAAAACTCAGCTCTTCTGCCTGATCATTTCAGGCTAGGCAGTCAATAGAAAGTTGTTACTGCCACTTTTCCTGAAACCTTTGGCCAAAGCCTGTGCAATTGTGCCCACAGCATGCCCGCTTTTGGCATGCTGGCCGGTGTGGGGGCCTGGCTGAGGAGGCCCAGGCGTTGTGGCTGCTGCTGCTCCTGTGCACAGCCTGCTGCTGTTGTCTGTGCCTTGGGCAGCAGCTACTGCGCCGCCCTGCCTGAGGAGCCCCGCGCCCTCCCCGTGCTGGCAGCAGCTCTGCGGGCCCAGAGCTCTGGCTCAGCGGGCTCTGGGCCACAGCCCCGTGGGCTGGGCAGCCGCGGGGGCCCGGGCTGGCCCACAGCCCTGCCTCTGCCCCTGCCCCTGCCCCTGGCCAGCAGCCCTTCTGCCGCAGGGATGGGAGATGCCCCGGTCAAGCGCCAGAGCAGCCGGGCTGGCAGGGAACCGGGAGGCTGCCTGGGGGCTGCTTATGGCCTCTGCCCCCACTTGCTCAGGCCTTCCCACACCCTGTCCCCTCAGGGCCTCCTCTGCCCAGCCTGTCCCCTCGCTGCCTCCTGCCACCCACTCCCTCACGCATTCCCCTTGGTGCTTCCCACTCCCTTGTCCCGGCAGGGCCTCCGCAGCACCTCAGCCCTTCAGGGCCTCCCAGCGCCCCGTCCCCTCAGGCTCTCCCCCAGCCCCGACAACCTGCCCGGCAGCGGCGCAGCCCTGAAGGAGCTCCACAGGAGCTGGCTCAGGAGGCACCTCCCAGCCCTCAGCAATCCACACAGCAACACACGGGCAGGCCACAGATGCTGCTTCCCGGCTGGCACAGGCTTGTGGCCACCTGCGAGGACCAGCTTCTCAGGGATCCCCACAGCTCCAGGCTCTGCCCATCCGCTCTGCTGCAAGTGTTGAGGCTCCAGCAGAACCCCCCAAGGCCAAGGGCCTTTTGGGCACTTTCCCTTCCCCGCTGCACCTTTGGGCAAGTGTTGTGGAGCACAAGGGCCCCTTTTCCCCTCTTCCCAGATGCCCTGTGGACACCGGGCACCAAAAAAACTCCTGAGCCTCTGTGTATGCTAAGAGCAATTTCATATTCTCAGGCTGGGGGAACAGGAACTTGTTGTAGAGAGGGGTCTGTCCCGCAGGCTCAGGTGGTCCCATCGGACAGGGTTCCCAGGATCAGTTCTCCGCTGACCTCCGGCAGCTGTCCCACAGAGGAGCCTCCCTATTCTACACATTCTGGAGCTGATCTTCAAGCTGCTGGAACCTGGAGAAGACTGAGGTCTCTAGACAGCTCTTAGAATCTCCAGGGTTTGAAGTGCCAGACTTTCCACAGCAGCACTGTCGTGAGTCATGCCTTCAATAACTGGAAGAGAAAAGAACAGAGCCAAGGTCAGAGAGCAGATCTCTGGCGAGCCAAGAAGCCCCTCCTGCCAGGACCATCCCATCCAACTCTTGCCATGGCCATGAGGGAGCAGAGCCCAACAGGATCAGTCGGGAGGTGCTGGCCACCAATACCCCCCGTGCCCCTGAAATCTCTCTCTGCTCTGCCCAAGCCGTTCCTCACCTCTGCAGGGAGCAGAGCCCTCCATAGCCAAGGCAGGATTGCAGCTCCCTGCCCGGGCTCCGTGCTCCCCTCACCATCCTCCACTGCCCTCACTCACCCTCAATGACGATCTGCAGCTGGAGCTGATGTCCCTTCAGGTACCTTCCGGCCATCCCTGGGAACACAGATCCTGTCAGGGCCCCAGCAGCACAGCTCCCCCCCCGGCGGCGCTGCCGGCCCGGCCACACGCCCTCCTGCCCTGGCAGGGCTGAGCCCGGGGCCTTCCCGCCTCGGGACGCCCCAGGGCTGGGCTGGCACAGGGCGGCAGCAGCCGCCAGGGCACTCGGGGCTCCACAGCACATCCCGGGGCCGCATCCTGCTGCCGTTGCAGCAGCCGGGACTGGGGCCGAGCTGCAGTGGGGCGGGGAGGGAACTTGTGGCTCACCCATGAACTTGAGGGCCGCCTCTCGCAGGGGCTGCTGTGGGCTGCGCAGGTGCGGCAGGGCCTGGTGCACGTACTGGACCACTCGGCTCCGGTCCCTTTTCAGCTGCAGAGAGAGGCAGGGCACGGAGGGAAGGGTTGGCTGGGGCTCTGCCCCTTGGCCGGGCGCTGCCTGCGCCCAGCACTGGCCTCCCCTGCCCGCACGCCCCAGGCAAGGCAGCGGCGGGTGGGGCGCAGGCTGCTGTCCCACAGGCGGCTGCAGCGGTGGGCAGGGGCACAGTGCCAGCCCCGCACTCTGGCCATCGGGGACTGGGGCTGTGGGGTCGTCCTTACCAGGCACTCACTGAACCTCCAAGGCTGCTCTGCCTTCAGCACCTTCACAAGACCCCTCCTCTTCAGAAACTGCGCCGCACGAAGCAGCGCTTCCCGAGAGGCCTGCAGAGCAACAGAGACCAGGACATGGCATGGCAGCCCAGGGCACAGGACCCGTGTCCCTGGACCAAGGCCAGCAGGAGACTGGAGCCTTTGAGGTGCCAGGGTAGGAGACAGCCCAGCCCACTCCCACGGGGACACCAGACCCTGCAAGTTCTCACTTCTGCCACGTCCCGGTTCTCATTATGCCATTGGAAAAAAAGTGGGAGCAGGCTGGAGATCACGTGGGTCTTCAGGAGTTTACTCTCCTCCACTCCCAACTCCATCACCTTTTGGAAGAGGGAAATGGAGAGCAGCTGCACATGGATGTTGTCCTGATGGAAAGGAAGAGGAAAAGACCTCAGCACCAGCTGCTCCAGGCCTGCCGGGGCACAAGCCTGCAAATCCACAGGCCACAGTTTCCTGGCAGCAGCCAGCGCCTGGGGTGGGGGGCACAGAGCCTTACATTGCCAAAGAGTGGCTGGAGCATCTCCGCCAGCTGCAGGGCAGTGGGGGTGGAGATTCGAATGTCTCTGTCCTGGATTTCATTGACGAGTACAGAGAGGGCCATCCTGACCAGCTCTCCGTCTGTATCCCACAGGACATCCGCGAGGTTTGGTGCCAGGCTCCGCATGCCGTCAGCCTGTGTGGAACACAATGCTGTGCTGTGAAGCCATGAATCGTGGAATCCTAGAATATCCCGAGTTGGAAGTGACCCACAAGGATCATTGAGTCCAACTCCTGGCCTTGCACAGGACCATGCCCAACAATCCCCTCGTGTCCCTGAGAGTGTTGTCCTTGAGCTCTGGCAGCCTTGGGGCTGTGACCTCTCCCCAGTGGGGCCTGTTCCAGCGTCAGACCACCCTCTGAGTGAAGAACCTTTCCCTACCACCCAACCTAAACCTCCCCTTGACCAGGGGAGCGCAAGTCCCAGCCAAGCCCAAGCCATTGGGCTCCCCAGCCCCAGGCTGCCGGCACAGCTTCAGCCAATTGCCCCCTCCTCACCATCACAGGATCCTTGCTCAGCACCACGAGGCCTCTGAGCACCAGGCGACGCATCTCTGTGCGCTTGCTCTGCAGGCGCCTTGAAAAGATCTTCACCAAGCTGTCACTCCATTCAGTGGTGTTCAGGCAGTCCAGGACCTGAAAGGCAGGGAGCAGTGATGGGGTGCCCGGCCGGCAGGAGCCCAGAGCCGCAGCGGGCTGGGCCCAGGCAGCAGCACAGGGCGCGGCACCGTCCCGGGCAGCTGCGGCTGCCAGAGGGCAGAGAGGTGGAGGCAGGTCAGCAAGGCAGTGCTCGCCATCAGGCTCACCTCCACAAGGAATGCCATGGCAGGAAGCTCCCAGCGTGGCTTCTCCCTGGTGAGCAGCCTCAGCAGGCAGCGGGCAATCCAGTAATACAAGGGGCTTGAGGCACGGCGCATCTCCCTGCCCGGGGGAAACAGGCACCATCAACCCTGAGCCGGGTGGGCAAACCTCTGCCGGGACTCACTGACAGAGTCCTGGTCTCTCCCCACCAGTTTGGGAGGGGATGAGGGCACTCTGGGAGGCGGCTCCTCCTGTGCACCCACCTCTCCCAGCCTTTGCCACTCTGCTCAGTCATCCGTGGCTGACGAGGCCCTCTGGCCCACCACCACGGGCACTGTGTGGGGTGCCCCGTGCACAGGCAGAAAGGACAGGGGCAGCGGGGAAAAGGGGGTCTCACCTGGCCAGCAGACCCACTGCATAGTGGTGGGTGTCAGAGTTGAGGAGTGTGTCCCAGCCGCGCTTCCGTTCCATTGAAAGCACGACAGCTTCACACTCCAGATGACAAAGCAGGGCCTTGGTGGTCAGCACTGCAAACCTGTGTGCAGAGCAAAGCCCAGGTCATCATGCTGGGAGCCCTGAGCAGCCCCGAGGGCATGAGAGGCTCAGGAGGACTGGCACTGAGCACCTCTTGGAGTTTGTGGGAAGGTTGGATTGCTTCTGGCATTCCCTCCACCAGGTGTCAACTTCCTCTGGTGTCTGCTCTGTGCGGATGGAAATCTGGAAGAGCAGATCCACGAGGAGACGGGGGGAATACTTCTTCACTGGCTCTGGGCACTGCAGCATCTGGAGAATCTCCCAGATCACCCTGGTTGCCTGCAAAAGAGAAACCACCCGGACACAGCCCTCAGTGCCCAGACGTCCATGGGAAAGAGCCCAGGTGTGGGAGGGAGAGGCCAGGGAAGACGCAGGGGCAGCCCCCAGCCTGGTGCCCCTGAACCCGCCCCTAAGCCAGGTTTCCAGCCCAGTGCCTGAGGCAGGGAGACGCAGTGCTCGGGGAGGATGGAGAGCTGCTGGAGAAGCCACCTGTGGGCAAGTAAAGTCCAGTTGCAGAAACTCACAGCCAGGCCAAAGACATGTGTGTTGTCCCCGTCGGAGGTGGACGTGCTGTGCCGTGGCCAGTCCTCCATCACGCGGAGCAGCTTTGGCAGCACCTTCTCCATTATCCTTGCCGATGAGGCGATGGTCTTCCACATGGTGGCAGCAGCTCTGTGGGGCCAGAGTTCTGTGTCAGGGGGTGCCGGCCAAAGTGCCTTGAGGAGCAGGGAGGGAGCATGGCAGCAGGATGGGGGCTGACATGGCAGGGCTGGGAAACAGAGGCTCCAGATGGTCCTGGAACCCTCCATCCCTCTGGCAGACCACGTGGGACAGGATGGACAGGCTGATGTGCTCTGAAGGCTGGTAAGCCCCGAGTCCTGAAGGCAGGGAGGCCCTGTACCTGTCACATGATGGGGCACAGCGCAGGAGGGTCACCACAACATCATCAGGGTGTGCCTCAGTCACCCTCAGGAACTCCCTCAGCAGCTTCTCTTCCAGAGTCTGGCTGGCTGTCAGTCTCTGGTGCACGTTCCTGACGAAGGCTGGCACCTGCAGGAGGCATGGGGGAAGAGCTGCCAACTTGCCCAGCTTCCCTGACAAGTGCTTCCCTTCCCACCGCACTGTGCTGGCCTCAAAGGCTGAGAGGGCCCAGGGGAGCTGGCTTGAGGGGCCACAAGCCTGTGGAGTGGCTTGAGCCTTGGGCACAGGCTGCTTACTTGCTTTGGACTGGAGACACCATTCCCCTCAAAAATATCTGCAGTGGGAGCAGAACTCACACTCTCCCCGGGCATGAGGTCAGCGTCTTCAATGCCCTCGGTCATTGCAGCGTCGGCCTCCGCAGTGAGATCAGGCAGTGCAGTCAAAACAGGGTCCGCCTCGAATTCAGTCGGGCTGGGCTCAGGCTGGTCCACGACCTCAGTTGGTGTGGTTGTGGTCCTTGTACGCCGAATGCCCAAGAATTTCAGAAAGGCCTGCAGAAGAACGGAGAGCAGGGAAGAGAGGGATGTGCCATGGTGAGCTCCGACAGCGGTGCCAGGCTGAGCAGGGAGAGCAGGCCCAGCCCAGGAGGTCATGGCTGCAGGTACCTGCACTGCCCTGCGGAAACGGCCACGGCCACGGTCCTGTTGTTGTGTCCGGTCCCGTCCTGGATCTGGCAAAGAGCGAGCGCGGTCAGAGCTGAGGGGCTGCGGGACAGGCCGCAGAACACGGCCCAGCCCTGCGCTCCACAGGCAGGGCCAGCCCCGGCATGCCCGGTGCATGGAGCTGCCGGGGGAACAGTCCCAGGCCCTCTTCCCCTGTCCCTTTCCCTGACCATGTCCACAGGGGACGGGATGGGATGAGGCACAGCCAGCTGCAGCCACCAGCATGTGGCCCAGCTGTGCCACTCACCTTCCTGCAGGGGATGCAACTGCTCCATCTTCTCCGGGTGCTGGGATGGGGCAGCTCCAGGGCCTTCGTTCCTCATCCGAAAGGGCCTGAGCAGGCTCAGGCGTCTTCCTGCCATCCCACACTCTGGCCTTGAAGGCACCTGTGAGAGAGAGACACCTCGGAAGATCTCCGGGTCACCAAGTCTGGCAGGCTGCCCTCCAGGCCACCTACCGCAAGGATTGGAGACTCCGGAAAATTTCCGGGACACCGATCCTGCGGTCTGGCCTCAAGGGCACCTGAAAGAGAGAAAAACCTGACCAATGGTATGGGTCAGCAAGACCTGCACTCTGGCCTCGAGGGCCCCTGAAAGATGGAACAGCCTAGCAAACGCTAGGGGTTAGCAGGTCCTGCAGTGCGGCCTCAAGGGCAGCTGCCGCAGGGATTGGGGACACCTCGCAAAAGCTCAGTGTCACCAAGTCCCACGGTCCGGCCTCGAGGATGCTCGCAGCACAGAAAAACGCCTCCAAAACGCCTCCAAAACGCTCCGAGTCAGCAAGAAAGAGTTGGCTGCACGGGGGCACCGCACAACACCGCTCTGTCCCGCCTGTCCCGTCGCACGCTCCGAGGAGCACTGAGGCGTGGCTGCGTCACCACCAGTACTAAGTCATCCCGTGTCACAAAGGGCCCTGTGACACCCTGCCCCGTGCCATGCCCACCGTGTCACAAAGGGCCCTGTGACACGCTGCCACGTGCCCTGGGGCCTCCCCCAGCCCGCCCAACCTGCCCCAGGTGGGAAGGGGTCTGTTCTTCAAAGTATCTAAGACAGCTGGACACGAACTGTAGGCACAGCTGAAAAACTAAGCAAACCCTCCTGGAATAAATTAGCAGGAGTGGATTAATTTACTCATCAAATTAGTAGTAGTAGTTTACTCATTAAATTGTATTGCATGTTATATTCTATTCTTCTAGACATATATATATATATATGTATTACAATCAATGTGCTGTTAAGGTTAGGAGACTCTAGGTTGTAGAATGGTTAATAAATCTGTCAGCACTAGAGACTGATAATTCCGCAGCTGGCAGTTCTCAAGCTAACAAGACCAATTCTTGTGCCTTGCTGTAGAAGTACTTTGTATCTTGTTTTTCTAAAAGCATATTGTCTAAAGCGCAGGCCTAAAGTAACGAAGGGAAGGACAAAGATCAAAGGATCCAGGACGAGAACGATACAGAGGATCCAAGATGGACCTCTGGAGATACCTACATAGGAGGCCTCA